TGCCAAATCCACCACTGAGAATGCATTTCTTGAGAAGTTACAACTGATGAGAGAGCTGTCACATGATGCTGCAGAGGATTTGTTGAACAAAAATTACAAAAAATGGTGTAGGGCTTTCTACACTCCAATGGCTTCATGTGACAGTGTAGACAACAACATGTCTGAAGTTTTCAATGCATACATACTTAAATGGAGGCACAAGCCTATCATCAGTATGCTAGAGGACATTAGAGAGAGCCTAATGGAAAGATTACACAAAAGAGGGGCCTGATCAAAGCAAGGGATATGAGTTTATGCCCTAGGATTCAGCAGCAGCTTGAGAAACACAAGGTCTGGGCTAGGGGCTGGAATGCATTTTGGGATGGTGGTTTCTGCTATGGAGTTAGGGATGGGCTACCCAAACCAAGTATGTTGTGAACTTGGTGGACAGAACATGCTCATGTAATGCATGGCAGGTGAGTGGCATTCCCTGCAAACATGGGGTGGTTGCCATTTGGAATAAAGTGGAGCAACCAGAGCAGTATGTCAATGACTACTTCAAGACACACTACCATGCAAAAGCCTATGACCACCAACTTGAGCCATTAAATGGTCCACAAGAATGGCCTGTTGGTACCTGTACTGTCACCCCTCCTGAGTTGAAAAAGGTGCACAATAGGCCAAAAACCAAGAGAAGACCTTCTGCTGGTGAGGTGATTATACAGGGGAAGGTTAGGAAGACTGGGGCTAGGATCACTTGCAGCTTGTGTGGGTTGCAGGGGCACAACAAGGTCACATGCAGAAATGCACCAAGGGAAAGGCACACAGCTCCAAACACATCTAGTCAAGCCCAAACTGACCCTGCCCCTTCAATTCCTATGCACAACAGAGGGGTTGGTGTGTACACCTACCCTAATGGCTTCCAAAGACAAGCAATTGTAAGTTTTCCATCTATTATCAAATTTACTTGTTATTTTATAACTCTCAGTGGGATACTCTTTTTACTCTTTCAATGGTTGCAGCCAATTACTACACAAATGCCTAGACAGTCCAGAGGTGCTGCATTTTACTCTGATAATGAAGGGCAGCAGACTGTATATTCATTCTCTCAAGAGTATACCTTCCCCCAATCACAACCAGAGGCAGCATCACAAACTATATCATCACAAGCACTGCAAGATTGGCAAAAGGAAAAGCAAAAGCAAATTAGAGAGCAAAACAAATGAGGTACTACATTCTTTCACTTTATTCATAACATCAGTGCATACTCTTACATTCCACCATTACTTAGTCAAATACATTTAGTTTGCCATGTTCCTAAGGACAAACCAGGCAATTACACAAGTTGCAAATGCAAAAAAAACCCACACTTCACACTTAACACATACAGACAGCCTAGGTTTTTTCATTTTTAGCATTACAATCTCTGATGTCACCTAATTAACAGATTGTTAGTTTCTCGTAAATTCTACACATTGTACAAAAATTACAAACATTTACAATTCATGTTCACAGGTACCTAGGACTGAGATTTTGATGCAGTGCAAGCTTCTTCGTGGTCAATATTTTTTTTGGATGTTCAAGAGCTGCTGTTTGTTCATGGAACTCGAAGATTTATAGCCTTCATTTCTGATAACGGCTAGTTTATTAATTCAGAAAAAAAAATTCGATATTACCGTTTTTTTTTTTGGAAAGAACAATATTAGCTTTTTTTTGATTGAAATATTAATAGGGTTGAAGTCCCTCAACTTTTTGCCATGTCAAAGTCCCTAAACTTTTTGGTGACTCAACATCCCTCAACTTTTTTGATGAGTCAAGGTCCCTCAACTTTTGCTTAGTCAGCAAAGTCCCTCAACTTTTGGCTGAAAACAGTAAAGTGGGTGGTTGAGGGACTAAATTGGTGAAAAAAGTTAAAGAGGGACTAAAACGGCTTTTATACGAAACTTCAGGGACTGTATTTATGCTTTACTCCCTTTTGTTTTCTACTTCGTATATATTTCTTGGTCTACTCCTCCTTTGACAATTGGAACAACGATAAACTGAGAGTTGAGGGTCAGCAGTCAGCAGTCAGCAAAGATCAGCAGCATTCAACCCGCTCCTCTACTCCGTATTACAAATTCAGGTTTCCTAACTCACAAACTTGGAACTCCCCATTTCATTGATTTCAATTTTAATCATATTCATTCAATTTTTGATTTCTGGGTTTTATCTCCTTAATTCTTTGAATGTTTTTTCACTCTTATTTTTCTTCTTTAATACATTGGTTGTAATTACAGATAAAAAAAAGTAAGAGCTGCTCAATTTGAGGTTCTATATATTATTGAAAGATTGAATTGAGGTAAAGATTAAACCCTTTATTTTTTTCTGTATTTCTTTTGTATAGATATATTGGAGTTTGTAATTCTATTGTTCATTTTCAGTGAAAAGTTTGATTCCTTTATGCTTAATTTAATGTAAATGGGTGTGGGTTTGTTGGGAAATTTGGTCAAAATGCGATTTGTGATTGGTTTTTGAAGAGATTTATGATTAGAACTCCACCATAAAGAAGGAAACGGATGCAGTGGTTCGGGTTTCGAATGTGAAGATTTTATTCAGATGGTTCTGTGTTGATTTCTGAAGTTTTATTGCAATGAGGAAAAAAAATACTTAAATTCTGATTTTTTCAGTTTTTAGGTCTTTAGAATGTCATTTATTGTGTTCTTGGATGTTGGAAGCAATTGATGAATGTCATTCTTTCAAAATTAGGAAATTTGGTCATTAAGGAATTATAATCTCGTTGTCAGTATGTTTTCTTGTAGTTGATGTATTTTTATAAAAGTGTCATTAATATCAAGCAGCACAAGTTAGGTATGTAATCAATCAATCAATCAAAGCATTAATCCCATAACTGGGGTCGGCTTCCTGAACCAAAAGTGATTATTTCGTGTAGTCATCGACAAAAATCTTCCTCCTCCATCCTTACGATTAATAGAAATGAGTGACATCTGAGTGACACTTTGTAATCCGAAACTATATGGATATTTTTTTTTTTTTTTGATGTGAAAGAGTTATAGATTGGTGTTTTTGGAATGTATCACTTGGATATGTTTGGTTGTATATGGAGCCTCCTATCTTTAAGCTTCTTGGTTCTGTTTTGGACAATTCTTATAAATTTTGTCTTCCTTGTAAACAATTCATTTAACATTATTCATACATTTGGCGTATGCAAGGGCCCTAGTAATACGTAGATGCTAAGTTTTTGGAAAAAGAGACAGAATTTTCAATGAGTGATTAAAACGGAATGAATTGGTAATGATGCATTCCATCCGGATGAATCATTTAGAACTTGGAAAGGTGCCGGTTAGTTCGTGTCAAATCACAGATGGATTATCCCTTCTTTTTAATACACATATATACCTGCATCTGATACTAGATTAGTGTATGACCCTAGCTATTTCAGATTTCAAAATTCAAATGCAATACACTGACAAATATTTGGGTCTTAATATATATATATATATATATGTTTCTGATAGTAATGTATCTTTAAGGAAATATCTCAATAAATGGATTTTTATTTTGATCTTTCAGTAGGAACTTAATTGTTTCTTCTCCGGATTTTAGTTTCCTCTATTAGTGGGAATTAGGGGTGGCTGGGTTGGGGTGGGAGGATGAGGCACAAAGAAACAGATTCTTTGTAAGTGACAGATTGTAAATCTCTATGGGCTGCTATAACTATCCCAGTAAGACACTCAAAACTGCTTAGAAAAATCAATTTCATCATGTAGGCTGTTTTGGGGACTGATGATATGATTCCTTGTAGCTTATTCACTTCTGTTTTCTGGTCTTTTATGTATAAAAATGTTGATTGGGCCTTTCTTACTGTGGTTGTGTGTACGGCAATAGATTGTGACCAGACAGAAATTATGCAGCATGTCCTGGCCACCAAAAATAATCTACTCTCTAGCGTTTGGATGTTGCTTGCTTGAGAATTGGGGGAAGTCCAGTGTGATGTCTACTGATAATAGTACAACAAATTCAAGCAGGTATTCATTTTAGACCTGCCTAACCTGTTAGTATTTTTACATCCATGTTATACAGTAGCTTTTGCTCAGTATTTTTTCTCGGTTTTTTTTTCCACTTTCATTTTATCACTTTCCTTTCTTTGCTCCATTTTTTTTTGCGGATGATTTCTTATGACAATTCATTTTAGCTAATACCATATCATTTTAGACTAAGGCTTCTTTGTTGTTTTGGTCTTTGCTCCTCTTGTATAAATACTCTTTTGTTTCCTAGCATGACATTGGAAATTCTACTTCAAGGGATTTGAAAGGAGATGGAAGTCTTAAAACTTCCGAGGAACAAAAGTTTGGTTGCATGTAACTTTACTTATGCATGCATTCTTTCCATCTATGTTTGTCTAATATTATAGAATCCACTTCTTAAAATCAATGAGCAGGAACTTTTGGGCAAGCCAGGACACAAGAACATGAGATCTTTTTTCTTAGGGAAAAAATTACTCAAGCCTATATTAAGTAGTGCTAAGAATATGGTACTCGATAATTTGTTGTTTTCTGGTGCTTCTCTTTTATATGGGAGTGAGCTTGTGTCTCCTTTAAATGACAGGAGATGCAGATGCTCAATGAGAAATATGCTTTGGAGAGAAAGTTTTCAGATCTGCGTATGGTCTGTGATCTAGAAAACTCTTATTCCCTGTCATTTTCTTGTATTTTTGATATTGCTTTGCTTTGGATGATGGTGAATTGCTCATCCAATACCTGATATGATAGGGCCATGGATGAGAAGCAAAAAGAATCGATAACTGCAGCCTTAAATGAATTGGCTCTCAGAAAAGCTGACCTTGATGAGAATGTAAGACTAACCAATGATTTGAAGGTAAAGAGTCTTTTCCCTCCTAGTTATCAACTCTACTTACCCTACTGATTCATCCACACCCTCTAAAAGAAAGATATTCATGAAGTAGCCCCATAGTATAATTAAGTGATAATACTTGTACTAGACAATTGTGAGGATAAGATAGGCTAAATCAACTCTAGAAACAAGTGCTTTGTCCTCTTTGCCAAATGTAAAAAATTTCCTCTTTTAGGATGCAGAAGAGCAGAGATATTATTTCATGACATCTTTGCTTGGATTATTGGCTGAATTTGGCACACGGGACCGAGCGTCACAAATGCTTCTTCTATTTGCATGAATCTCAAGGTATGGATTATTGGATAGTTGTAAAAAGGGCAATATTGTCTATTATCTATTGATGCTGGTGTAAGAGTTTTGCTTTATTATTTGTTTTATATACTGTGGTGATAACTCGGTCTTGAAATCTTCAGTCCAAACTAAGCCGGCAATATTAGCGGTGATTGGAGCTTAAAGTTACTGCCAGATTTTAAACTCGAAGAGATAGGAAACTATGGAAGGAAATTTAAATGATGATGTTTATGTCTTGAATTGAAATATTATTTGTAGTTTTCATTTCAGTTCAATGCTTCACTTACTCAAAACTAATGCCTTTTCACCAGATTCCCCTACCTCTGAAAAGTTGCAAGGTTGTGAAAAGAATTGGTAGTTTCTTGTCATGTATCAAAGGGCCTTCCTCCTAGAAAAATAAATTCCTCCGGTTTTGGTAAAAGACATATTTCTCTAACTGTGACTATCCTACAGCCAAGATCCTCTACGTAATGAGATTCTTGTTTCTGATCATCTGAAATGAGCTCAGATTCTGTCTGATTGATTACCTGATGAGAGATTAGTTGCTAATATCTGAATTTGTATTCACTTTGGTTTGTTTTAAATTTGTATAAGTCCGAGGCTCTGATTGTGTTTTTGACCGTCCTTGACACTGTTCTTTTTCTGTGTCTTTTGTTTGGGAAATGAAATTGCAGCAACTTGTATGATCAACTGCACCAGAAACTACAGGTAAGCCTTTCATTGGGCATCACAGATGCTTCTTTTATTTTGTGTTCTCTGTTTTGCTTTCCTATATACATATATAATATATATATATATATATATATATATATATATATATATATATATATATATATATATATATATATATATTTTGCAAGAATCCCAAAATTACGTGCAAGATCTGGTGTCTTGTTTAAATATAATTATGTAGACATGGCTGCATTTTCATGTGTGTTTCTGTAGAGGTGCTTTTTATGGAAAAAAATTTCAATATGTTTGAGGATATAATATACTTAGTAATTGGCAAACAAAGCTGATACCATGTAGGTAGAGCAAAGGCACCATGAATGGGGTCTGTATTTAATCTTTGTAGGTCCCTGATCCACTTTCTTTGTATGTTGCGTGTATCCAGCTCAATCCCTTCGATTCTTAGTATAATTATTAATTGGCCACTGCAATAAGTAGAACTTGGCATTGGCTGGCTTACAGTTGCAATTGCGCTCATCTCATTCAGTAAGAATAACAAAATCACAGCTGATATTTCTTACCTGATAGCTTAAGTTAGTTGGAGAGAGTCCTCACATTTCCAGAGCCTAATACCTTACTAACATTAATGGTCTTATAATTAGACTGGTTCTCAAGCTCTAGACTCCAGAGCTTTTTCTTCAGCTGATAGGTTTTTTTTGAATATTGTTTGTATGTGTGGATGCTTCTTTCCCAAAATTAGGAAGAACTGAAGGAGGAGAGCCCAGTTCGTCCTGCTTTCATTATGGAAAGTCACGTCTCACTTCTTTATGGAAATGAATAATGGACAATCAGTTAAGAATATCCAGCTGTAGTAAAAGACTAAAAGGTGAAAATATTACTGCGTATTAATATTGGAATCTGGAGCTGAATAAGAATAAGATGTTGCCTTTTCCTCTTCTTTTCATATCATGTTAACTCCCAGCCAAGATTTTTTTTTCCGACTTAATTCTTCATACTCCAAGAGCATGCCCAATTTTATTTATTTTTTATTTTTTCTATTTTATTATATTTCCTGCTAATATACTGTTCGGCAAACTATCAGGGGAGATTATCAGAATTCAGTTTCCGTCAATTATGTTCACAATATTAGCTTTTTGGACTATTTATAACAGGGACTAAAGTTTCAAACAAATTTCTCTTATTGTTGTAGGAAAAAGCAAGGGAGTTGAGGAATCTCACTCAGGACCCATACTATGAGATCGGTTCTCAACCTAGCAATGTACATGTTGAGTCTCCTTACCAACAAATGGTAATGTTCTAACTCCCAGGTGTGTGCTGCATTGTATGGTGATTTTCTGACTAATTATAAAGGATGGACTGTTGTGACAAGGCCTTCCCTTTTGGTATTTAATAGACCTCTTTATGGGAGCAATCGGGTTTGCCTCAGTTGTCTATCTAGATATTAGCAACAATTACTTTTGTAGTATGTGGTCCTTATTTGGAGCCTATTATGCAGCCTCTGTGACTCCTAATCCCGTGAAATAGTGGTTCATGGCCTGGAGGCTGATGCCAATGATTTGATTGACTTATGTCTCTATTAACCTACCTTGTCTAGGGAGGACTTGTGAACATTATTCTAGGTGAGGGAGTTTGCAAAATCCGGCCCATACCATTTAGGTGTAAGATAATGACTAGCTAACAAAATATTAGAATTGTTACCAAAGTGATAAAGGCTTTCCTTTTGGGGCTTGTGGGCTCATTTAGTATTTTTCTCACCACAATGAGTTATGGGATATGTTGCTGACATATGCATTTTGATAGTTTTAAATGTAATTTTCCACTTCAATTTTTCTTATTTGTTCACGTAGAAAGGAGAATCATCTCTATCAAGTCGAGCTGAAGAATATTTACCAGCAACCAATAGGGCGTGGCCTGATGAGCAGACTGGGCACTTGCTAATCTATGGTGAGATGCATTTCCATTCTACAATAGATACATAATTAGAAAGCCCTTACCAAAAACAAATTTGCTCTTTGCTTCTTCCTTAACAAGTGAGTTTTATTTTTTGCGCTTAATGTGTAAAATAGCTTATTGATTATAGCAACTTAGTGGCTACTCATTGTGTCAATAAAACTGTGTATTGGTGCTGAAATATACCTTTTCTGTTTAAATCAAATCAATCAATAAATGTGGACTGGCCGTTAACCCCAATTCCTGGTTATAGCATTTCGATAAAATAATAAAGGCGATGACTGCATAAATAGTCAACCAATATGGATCTTGCCAAGGGTGGTGTCTTGGGAGGTCTGGGTATATATGCAGTGTGACCTTTGACTTCTTTGATTGACCGAATTTCTGATTGTTCAACTTATAGTCTATGCTGAATAACCAATGTGTTGAATCTGTTTTCACTATTGGCTCTTATTAGGTATGGTAAAAGAGGGTGTATCACGTGTTCAATATATTATGTTTAGAAACTAAAGTAGGCTTCAGGGTTTTTTACAAGTTACTGGCTGGCAATCTCTAGTCACTTTATTTGTCTTTCTTGGTTGAAGTAATTTCTTCTTTATTAATCTCTTTTCTCTCTTCCCCATTCTGACTTTTTTTCTTTCTTCCCAAAATCCTTCCATTGTTGGAAAAGCGTTATATTTCTGACTAATCCATTTTTTATATGCATAATTAGTATGTTATAATTTTAGAAACCATTATCCTTTCTGCTTCTTAATATCATGTTTTATCAAAATAATCTTAATATAAAAAACGACATGGTGTTGGAATTATGGGTTACGCACCTTCTCACTTGTGTGCTATAAATTGATGAAGAATGTTCGTGTTTAATTTTCCTAACTTCATGGATTGGATATTTTTAAGGTGAACTATGATTTACGCAATGAGTCTGACTATTTGTAAATTTTCACATTAATTTTCTTTAGATGAGGGTCCTGGAATAGAAGGTTTCCAATAATTGGTGAAGCTAAATTGGGAGCCAAGCTTCTTGGTGTGGCTATCCTGTACGAGGCACTTCACTTTGCATGTTTCAGGTAAAA